AAGATATCGAAGCTCGAGTATTTTCTTAATGTTGGCATGTGTGTGACGAAGATTGATGCAACGCCTCTTGATTTATAAAGATGGCAGTAGAACTTGGTGCTATAGCTACTGCTCTGAAGCGAAGACAAAATTGATGACTCCCAGAGTTGACTCGTTGGCTAATTAATTGATTGCTTCATCTTGACATAAAGCTTGTCGAATTTTGAGCCATGTATTTGTGTAGCCCCCGACTCTTTGGTTAGTTGGAAAACAACTAAACATAGAGTCAAGAACTGTAGCTTCTTGTTGTCGAGTAGCCATTACTGGAGTGAATAAATGTATTGAAGATGTCCGAGTAAAAATCTTGAATATTGGAACACCACTTGTTGTAGTAAAATAATACGGCATCATGTTTGGTGACACATGCCGAGATGTCGAAGCTCCTGTAGAACATCGTGGTTGGTGAAGTAGCAAAGCTTGCGAAGTAGAGGCAATAGAGTTTGTCGGTGCCGAAGATAATAAAGATGAAGCCGCTCCACCATGGTGACAAAGTTGCATAGCCGTGATGAAGTGAACACGAGTCAGCAGCAACAGAAGCAAACCGGTAGTGAAGACGCGTAGTTGTGAAGATAAAAGCACCAGTCGGCGGCGGCATAACCAGTCGACAACGGAAGACGATGATGTCCATCAATAGTGGTAGCGGTATAAACCAGACGTAGAGGCAAGGACACCAGTCAACAGCAGACGAGACGACCGGCGGTGAAGACGATAAGGCCAATCAACAGTGGCAGAATCATGCAGCCATGGAAGTGAAGAAACCAGTCGGCAGCAGACGTAGACAGCTTGTGTTGAAGATGATAACGCCTATTAGTCGTGGCGGCGACGTGGCCAGCCGTGAAGACGATAGCACCAGTTGGCGTCATATGAGGCGGCCGGTCGGTGAAGATGTAGGCGTCCAACAACGGCGGCATAATAGTCCAGCCGTGCAAGCGGAGACACCAGTCGGCGGCGGCGAAGGCAAGCTGGCGGTGAAGACGTAGACGCCCAACAACGGCGGCATAATAAGCCATCCGTGCAGGCAAAGGCACCAGTCGGCGGCGGACGACGCGGCCGGTCGATGAAGACGTAGATGCCCAACAACGGCGGCATAATAGGCCAGCCGTGCAGGCGGAAACAATAGTCGACGGCGGACGAGGCGGCCGGTCGGTGAAGACGTAGACGCCCAACAACGGCGGCGTAATAGGCCAGCCGTGCAGGCATAAACACCAGTCGGCGGCGGATGAGGCGGCCGGTCAGTGAAGACGTAGACGCCCAACAACGGCTGCATAATAGGCCAGCCGTGCAGGCAAAGGCACCAGTCGACGGCGGACGAGGGGGCCGGTCGGTGAAGAAGTAGACGCCCAACAACGGCGGCATAATAAGCCAGCTGTGTAGGCGAAAACACCAGTCGGTGGCAGACGAGGCGGCCGGTTGGTGAAGACGTAGACGCCCAACAATGGCAGCATAATAGGCCAACCGTGGAGGCGAAGACACTAGTCGGCGGCACACGAGGCGCCGATGGTAATGTTCTGACTGATCCATTCCTGAAGCGTAGGAGATAAGCTTAAAGCCATGAATCCCTATTATGCACATCTGGATCTGGATCCTGCAGAACAAACATATAGGATGAGTAGTATCTGATGTAAATACAGTACTTAAGAAAAATTCAAGTATTTTAAAATGTTTGTAAATATGTATTTCTCCTCTTGTCAATTTTGATTTCCCCGAGCAGATGACTCCGTACGTTTAAACACTCTGTCCGACTAGTCATAGCCCCCAAGCATCGGGAGTCGGCCTAGGCACTTCCCAAACATGCATATGAGTGACATGAGTTCGTCATTAATCGAACAAAGTTTCACGAATCAGAATTTACTACTCGGGTACTTTTGCAATTGTAAAGAGCAGAAAATAAATTTATCTTATCTCTATGCTTTTGATTTATCCGAATAATACTTAGCACCTTGTATTACTCGGTCCATCCAACGAGCCCCCGGGCGCTAGGAATCGGCCCAAAGGTAACTATCCATCGATAAACCAAACGGAAAGCATAGGAAGATAGAACTCCATAACTCGATAGGCACTTTTGTACTCAGATTATATTGCAAGCAATCAAGATAAATATTATGAAAATTGTTTAAAAAATATGATATAACATCTGTAGCCCCCGACTCACTAGTCAACGGCGAACTAGTTGACATAGTGAGGCAGAGGAAAAGGAAAATATCATACAAAGAAAAAAAATAATGGTGACTTAGCTTTGTAATATTTCCCTTCGTGATGGCAGAGGTGGCCAATGTGGGAACAAAGTCGTCTATCAACAACAATGAGGACACCAGTCGGCGGCGACGAAGGCGGTCGACGGTGAAAGCGAAGATGCCCACCAACGACGGCATAATAGGCTAGCCGTGTCGGCAGAGACACCAGTCGGCGGCGGCAAAGGCAAGCCGGTTGGTGAAGACGTGGACGCCCATGAACGGTGGTGTGACCAACCAACCGTATAGGCGAGGACACCAGTCGGCAGCGACGGAGGCAGGCCGGTCGGTGAAGACATTGTTGCTATCAGCGGCGGTGGCAAAGGCAAGCCGGCGGAGTGGACTCGCGGCCAATTGACCGAATAGCTGGGACGTCTCGAGTCCATGACCAGCATAGATCACCTCAGTATGCCACGTAATTATATGTGATCAACAACAACAAAAAATAACAAGAGATTAATCTGATATTTAGAGATCAATCTAATAAAGAAAAATAAATTGGAAGAGAAAAAACCCGGCAAAGTCGAAGATTAAATCATTCAACTCGCCGAGATTGATTTCCTCGACCGGACTGACTCCGAGACGGAGAAAATTGGTCGTTGGTGTTGCACTGTGTCACTAGGGCTAATCAAGCAATCGACACTGAGATGGTGAGGCCTCCGGCAGCAGTAGAAGCAGCCAGAAGAATCGGCCAGCCAGCCAACGACGATTATATGCAAGAAAAGACCCGGATTGATCAAATTAGTAGCAACTACAGAAACAACTCAATAAGTATATATGTTGATCGATGCATGCATGCAAATATGCAACATGGGTTTATCCATCCTCTTGCAGGTGCTGAACGTGCATGCAAGTCAACCCTGTAAAGAACCAATAGTCTTTGACCAGGGCCAGGGCGAGCACACAGCGGCCGGCTGGACTCCTGACGTGATGCAGTGCACCCGGCGGCAACTCTCGCGGCGCCATGTAGATGGAACAGTTCGCCATGCACAAAATCGATGCGATAGCGATGGTGTGCCCACGTGCGCTGTTGAGCATGTCATCTCGCAAAACAAATCATCGATCAATCTGTTGTTAGAAATTAATCTAATAATAAAATAAATTGGAGCGGCAAACCCGGATGAAGATCAAAGATTTGACGAGCCATTGAACACGTTGAAATTGATCTCAACGTTTCTTTTTGAAGTTAATTCCATCGCCTTATATAGGATTGGGGGGCAGGATTACAAGATAGAAACCTTAACCAATACGATATCGGTTTCCTAAATCTACTTTATAATATTATCAAACCAGGACTTTAGGCCGTTCCATAATTTACAAGGAAACGTAATACCCAAGTCATAATATGTTACATATTTTATAGATATAAGTTATCTCCTATAACCAGTCGGATAACCATGCTGTGTGGGTATGAGATACCCATGATCTCCACAACTTGATTTGGAGAAACACCCGCACCTACGCGGCTCGAGCAAGTTGCTGCCGGTGAGAAAGCCCCTGGCACCCGCATCCCACGCTAGACCTCGAGCTCCGCCGTCGCCACCGCGCGTTAGAGCTGGCAATGGGTAGTTCCACCCACGTCCTAGACCTTCACGGTCGCCAGCTCTTGCTTGAGCTCATCATGGGCGATGAATAGACCCGTCGCAGCGCTTGACTTCTATCGGGCATCGCTATATATGCGCTTGATCTCCTCCAGCTCCCGCCTGCAGTAGTCAAGTTTGAGCTTGACCTTCATCGGCATCAGCCATGCGCTTGAGTTCCACCAGCAACGGCCCAGTGCTCCCTCAAACTCAACCTCTGTCCACATTGGTGTTGCACTCTGCTCAAGCCACAGGGAAGCGATTCAGGTGATCTGCTGCGATTGTGGTGAAGAATCGTTGGCAAGCTCCACCATGGAGGAGATCCATTGTTGGCTGTGCTCTGACGGGGAAGAGGACTAGTCACATGGCCAAAGCAAGCAGCGGCAGAGGAGGGATGGTTGAGAGAGACGTGAGACTAGCTTACGCACTGAGGCACTGACATGTGGTCCACTAGCGGTTGGTGAAAATTTTAGCAATAATACCTGCTCCAAAGTGAAAAGATGAGCTAACACCTGGTCTACAATGCAACAATGGTAAGAAGAACTAGTCCAGGATGTAATTTACTAAAAAAAATAAAAAAGACAGCAAGCACACACGTCTCATCAGTCATCACTATATAGAAGCTGTTTGGGATCTTAAAATTTAGTTCATGTTATTTAAAATATCAAATATAGATTAATTACAAAACCTATTTTATAACATTTGACTAATTCGCGATACGAATCTATCTAGCCTAATTAATTCAAGATTAGCCTATATGATGCTACAGTAAACATTCGCTAATTATAGATTAATTAGGCTTTAAAAAATCGTCTCACGGATTAGCTCTCATTTATAAAATTAGTTTTTTTAATTCAAGATTAGCCTATGCGATGCTACAGTAAACATTCGCTAATTATGGATTAATTAGGCTTAAAAAATTCGTCTCACGGATTAGCTCTTATTTATAAAATTAGTTTTTTTATTAATCTATATTTAATACTTTAAATTAGTACCAAATATCCGATGTGATATGTACTAAAATTTATTTTAGCCCATCTAAACACCCATAGTCACAAAAACTCCACGCCCGTCCCTTCCAGAGTTCTCCACGCGGTGCAACGAGTCCAGTTTAAATATCCCTCCCCAATTTTCTGAAAGAGAGTAATTTTTCAGGCCCTCGTTTGAGTTCACTTGACAAGTCCGAGACGCAACACACCACGGAAACCGAAAAAAAAAAAAAAAGAGACACGACTCGCAGCCGCAGCTCACCAAGCCGACACGTCTCCTCCTCCTCCCACCACTCTACCTGTGCCCAGCGCCCTCCCCCCCCCCAGCCCATCAGTCTCTACAAGAAGATCCGAGGAGAGGAGCCTAACAACACCTGTCACCTACTACTACACACAGCGACAGAGAGGAGCAGAGCCGCAAGAAGAGTCGAGTCATGGCGGGGTCGTCGTCCCTCAGCACGCTCTCCCTCTGCACGCAGTCGCCATCACCGTCACCGGTGGCGTCCGCCCGCCTCGTGGCACCGGCTGTCCTCGGTTTCGCCGGGGCCCCGCGGTTCCCGACGCTGCGGGCCGCGCCACGGCGGCTGACGGCGCGGGCGGTGGCCGGGGACGCCGAGGACGAGTGGGGGAAGGAGCCGGCGGCGGACCAGGGCGGTGCCGCCGCGGCGGTGGCCGAGGCGCCCGCGGATGTGCCGGTGACGAGCGAGGTCGCGGAGCTCAAGGCGAAGCTGAAGGAGGCGCTGTACGGTACGGAGCGCGGCCTGCGCGCGTCCAGCGAGACGCGCGCGGAGGTGGTCGAGCTCATCACGCAGCTCGAGGCCCGCAACCCCACGCCGGCGCCCACCGAGGCGCTCACCCTCCTCAACGGCAAGTGGATCCTCGCGTAAGCCCTTCTCACTTTTCCCCTCTCGCTCCATTTCTTATTTATATTACTACATATATTTACATGTTCTTTGTTATATTTTTAGTTTGACTTAAATTGGTGATGAATCGATCTAATTGGTGTGGTTACTAGAGGGAAAATTGTTGCTCACGTGCTTTATTTTTGTCATTTTGTGTTTGTTAATCCAAATGTATAATTTCGTAGGTATGCATAGTTAAGAGAGTGTTGTGACTTGATTACATATCATTCTACAAATCGCTTTAATTAAATGTTCGGGTTTACAGGGTGATCCTTGATTTCCATAGTCTGTTTTAAGTAATGCTGAAATCAGATTTACAGAACGGCTCTTCTTTTGCTAGCTTATTTGTTTGAATCATTTTATCACCCTTGTAAAGGTACCAAGAGATGCTACTAATTCTGTATCCCTTAGACTCTGTTTGTTTTTTTTTTTTTTGACGGAAGAAGGTAGAGCAGGCTCTACATAAAGTCATTTCATTAATAGAAATGAGGTTTACAGATTACTCCTTCCGTCCCAAAAAAAGGCAAACCGTGGGTTTCCGTGCCAACGTTTGACTGTCCGTCTTATATGAATTTTTTTTATAATTAGTATTTTCATTATTGTTAGATGATAAAACATGATTAATACTTTATGCGTGACTCATCTTTTTAATTTTTTTCATAATTTTTTCAAATAAGACGGACGGTCAAACGTTGGGCACGGAAACCAGGGTTTGTCTTTTTTTGGGACGGAGGGAGTACATATTAGGTGTGGGAATTAACAGAGAGGGAAATAAACAGAAAAAGAAAGGGGAGAGGGGAGAACAAGCCAAAAAAAGAAAAAAGGGAGAATTTACACATATATGTACATGAAGCTTTCTTCTAGGAAAGCCTTGAGCACCAGGAATGAATTTTTTGCCTATTTGTTTCATTGGTCCTTAGGCTCCAGAGCTGTATGGTGTCTGAAACTTGTTGAATGCATTGTAGACTGTCAAACTGTCTTTCGAACACCCGGTTGTTGTGTGCTTTCCATAGAGTGTACGCTCAAGCAGCAAACCAAATTGGCTCAATTCCTTTCAATGTTTGATTTCTGTCCATAATTGCCTGGAGGAAGGCTGAGATAGAATCTGAGCTGTTGGCCAGCTGTAGTAAGTTCAATTTTTCCCAAAGGCTATTGGCCTGTCTGCACCTTAAGATGATGTGATCAGCTGTTTCTAGTGCAGGGCACAAAGAGCAGTGGGGGTCTTTGTTCCATTTTTTGTTGACTCTGTTTGTTATAACTTATAAGAACCAAACATCTGCTAGCTTGGATAACCTTTGCGTTGATCTCAACCTAAATTGCTAAGGGAGGAGAGTCTTTTAAAGACCGTTTTATGCACAAGCTGTAATGAAAACAGGGTATTCAGGTACCTGTTGCTATCATTTACTTGAGAAAAGGACAATTGTGATTGGTTCAGTTCTTTGGACACTCACATGGTCAAATGATCTCAACATCATAAGTAACGTATTAAACCAATGACTAGGATGTTGAGAAGTCTAAGAGGTCACAATTCCTATTAAATGTAGTTGCAGAGTCACTGAATAGTTTGGAGACTAATAAATTAGGTGACTACAGGTACACCTCATTTTCACAGCTATTCCCACTATTGGGGTCTGGTAGTTTGCCTCAGCTTGTCAAGGTGGAAGAAATATCACAAACTATTGATTCTGAGAACTTCACGGTTCAGAATTGCATCAAGTTTTCAGGACCTTTAGCAACAACTTCAGTGTCTACCAATGCCAAATTTGAAGTTCGAAGTCCCAAACGTGTACAGGTGTGATTTTCCTCTCTCAATCATGTATTTCATTTTCTCATGAAACCATTCTGTGATCCATTGATATGTGCAAAGGTGTTAGGTTTTTTATGGATATCTGGGAAAAGCGTGAGCATGAAATTTTACTTTAAAACAATTTGGATAGTATGAGATTTACACTTTTAAGTACAGCAGCCTTTATATCTCATAAAGGAGAAGATTTCAGGAAATTTTCGGTACTGAAGTTCTTTGTGGAGCATTTCCCATAAAGTTAATTGATTGCATGCAATCATTACATTTTGAAATATCCGTTGAAGATATGGAGAAAAGCACAGATTTGGATGAGTTCACAACTGCTAGGGCATGCACAAATCTGTCCATGTTGTGAACTGTGGGATATTATTTTTACTGCTACATGTATATGGATATGGAAGTGAAACATGTATTAACTATTAACTATTTTAGATTGTTGCTATTGCTGTTCCCGGATCTACCTAATTAGTTACTCCCTCTGTCCCAAAATATAGCAAGTTTTGAACGGATTGGACATATCCTAGGACTACGAATCTGGACAGACCCCTTTCAAATTCGTAGTCCTAAGATATGTCCCATCCGTTCAAAACTTGTAATATTTTGGGACAAAGGAAGTATGTAATATGAAGAGGTTTGGTAACAAGGGGTGGGAAAGAAAACCCTTCCATTTATGTTTTTTCTACAGTATTTATTTGCATATGTCAACTGAACTTTGTTATAGGTTTCTGCAAAACTCACATAGTTTGCAACCCTTTCAGATCAAATTTGATGAAGGCATTATCGGCACTCCACAATTGACTGATTCTATTGTACTACCTGAGAAGTTTGAGTTATTTGGGCAGAATATTGACCTGACCCCATTGAAGGGCATATTTTCATCAATTGAAAATGCAGCATCCTCAGTTGCTAGAACCATCTCTGGTCAACCTCCACTAAAGATACCAATTAGGACTGACAATGCTGAGTCTTGGTTGCTCACAACCTACCTTGATGATGAGCTTAGAATCTCCAGAGGTGATGGCAGCAGCATCTTTGTACTGTTTAAGGAAGGAAGCACCCTCCTATATTAAGCTTGGCATGCCTAATCTAGGGTAGAACTTGATGCTGAAGCAACTCCAAGCAGTACTTGTGGCTAAATTATTTTTCATATTTAAGTTGGTGTGTTGTTATTTGTGTTTGTATAGTTCGGGCGTTTGGATTATGTGAAGTTTTGTGTATGTGTAATGTATTCTTTGATGTCCCTGAGCACCTGAGCTGCTATACTAGTATACATGTTATATATTGCAAAAGTTACACTGAAATGTAAAAGGAATATGTGAAGCGCCCTTTCTGTATTTCTTTCATATAGCAGCTGAATATTTTCTTAAACTTTCATAAAAAATATTTATTCAATTACTTTTGTTAAAATTGATCAGTGTCAAGTGAAAAGAGTACACTAGATTGCTTTATATGTTTTGTACAAATATTTCTACAAAATATAAATATTGTCGTCAAACAATTCTTTTTTTACAAAATAGAAAAAAAGGTAGTATTCTGTGTTTCCAGATCACCTTGAAGTACCATCGTGGTGGCTTCTTTAAGAAACATCAATCAGGAAATTGCCTTGAAATAGTGAAGTCCATGGCGTAGTACCATAAGCAGAAAGAAATTATCTAAGCATAATCTTTTCTATTCGGTACTCGGTACGGCAGATTCGGATCGTCTGCCTTCACCCGTTGAAGTCATGAACGTGAAGTCACCGCTTATCCACCGTCCAAGAAATCCAACGGCTCATGTGGCGCATGTAAAATCGAGGAGTTAATTTAAGATTGCGTGTGATGAAAACATTGGTAGTTTGTGATTTGGAGTTTAAGGTTGATTTTGCGAAGTGAGTGTGTCCTGTTAATCTAGGCAGTTAGACCGGCCGGGTGTTGGTGGTCAGATTGCAGGTCTTGCTGCGGTCAGACCGGCTAACCCGATGGACTGACCGGCAGGATTCTGTTCGATATCGGTTTTGGGTTGTCTTGTCCGTTTTGGATAGTTCCTTCACGGATTTGACTTATACATAGTTTCTATACATATGCATATTGTTTGTTATGCTAATGTAAGTCAAGTTAGGACGAATTTGTGCTTGGAATATGGTTTCTTGGTTGTTGCATGTGCAGGTATTGCTTAAGGCCTCGGGAGAGTGTTGCCGGTGATAGATCGGGATCGACTTTGGAGAAGTAGACGTCCAGGGATCAAGAGATCATGTGGGATACTAAAGACTAGAGAACAATACACGTGGTGATGAAGAATCCATGTGGCATACAAGAGGGATTGTGCGCGATGGAAAGAAGAGTCGAATTTCGAAGGGAGTCAGAATTCTGGAAGATTGATAGAGACAACGAAAAAGATGAGTTGGATACTTGCAAGAGAGGGTTTCCCATGTGGTTGGGAGTTTTAATTTGGGTTAGATTTGTGGGCTTTGCACAGTGCTGGCGAAATGGGAACCAGGGTACCCATTTATCCGGCAAAAGGATCATAATCAAATAAATAGCATGCTTAGAATATCTTTAAAAATAAAAAGGTAACCCTAGGGTGACGTAGCTAGGGGCCAACTCTTGTGGGTCCTGAGCCCACCTAAGATTTTATATATGGGATTCTCCCTAGCTAAGGAGCATAAAAGTAGCTTGGAACTTGGCTTGGGTCCCAAGCATACCCCAGATACGTTTTAAGAATATAGCCTAAGGTCTGCCTCGGACCTGGCCATGTCTTGGGTCCCGGGCTCACCTTAGTCATTGTAGGTTATACGGTCCTCGACAAGAAGGGCGTAGAAATCTATAAGATCTATATCTTAAGAGAATGAGCTAAGGTATGCTTCGGGCCTGACCTACTCCTGGGCCCCGGGCTCACCTTAGCCCATACAAGTCACACACTTCTCTAGAAAGAGGAGTGTCGAGACATGCAGAACATAAAAGGTGTAAACTGAGGTTTGCTCACGTCCCTCTGCCTAGAGGGGCATCGAAACGTATAAGACACATAATCTTAGAATGTCCCTTCATCAACGACATTTTCAATAAACTCATCCGAGAATGATCAAACTACTTCTTTAAACGCAGGAGGACGCGACCTCAGAACTTGCTAGGAAGTTGGGTGTGCTCCACATCTAGCTGTGAGGCAGCATGCCTCGCCATAAATGAAACAGGTTTATAGGAGATCCCCAGACAGTCTATAGTTGAAAGGACGTGGACAAGACGCCAGCGCTGAGTCACTTAGGACCGGTGTTGCCTAGGACACGCGTCGCACATGTCCCGCGCCACCTAATTTAGCCAAACGGGTAGAGAAGCAACCGTGGCACTGTTTTGGGCAGGTTGGGCCTTGTCAGGCCCGCCACGCACCACGTGGTGAGCACATTGGCGGAGACCCAACTGTCTTAGACGGAGCCCAAGAGCCTGGGGTAATATGAAGACTGTGTTAGGGAACCAGCCGGCAACAACAAGACAGCTAATAAGACAAGACTAGCAGTAGATTTGTAATAATGAGATCCTCTCCTTGGACTATAAAAGGAAGAGGACCAGATACATATGAAGGGTTGGATTCTTTTATATTAGTACTTTCGCTTTGTAACCTGAAAAGGCCTCCTTTGTACATAGCTAATCTAGGGAAAACAACAACCTCAACATAGCAGGGTATTACACCTTTGGGTGGCCTGAACCTATATAAACTCCTGTCTCCCTCTCTGCATGGGGTGGTCGGGCCCCACGAAACCTTTCTGATTGCAACTTGTTTGCACTCTCACCGCAAACCCCTTGGTCGGATCTTCACACTCGGGGAGGGCCCTCCACTCCCCGCTGTCCGAGGAATCACCCCCTTGACACATAGCTTACCTCGTGTATAAATAGAGAGGGAGGGTGTGGCCTCCTGCAGTCCTGCTATCGATTTTGAGAGAGTTGAATTAAGAGAAAAGTTAGGGTTTCAAGTTTAGTCGAAATTTTGGTGAGATGTGTTGTTGGTGCACTTTCTAAATACTAGTTGATGCAATATAGTCGAGATAGTTCAATCTACATCTTCGAGTTTTCATCCACCGGTGTTTCCTGGGTTGTCTGATCGACAGCAAGGCGACGGTCTTACCGGCGGGAGTACGGGAGTCCAACCACAGGTGGTGGGCGGTTTGACCAGTCAGACAACGGCAGTCTGACCGGCGGCTGGAGGACGGTGTGACCGAGGGCCCAAAACCCTAACCCTAGATCTGGCCAGAGGGGAGAGTGGCGGCAGGTAGGGCTAGGGCGGCGAATTTTGTTTACGCTGAATATATTTTCGCAGGCGGGTGGATTTAGCCGCATGCAAAAATCATTGATTTTCAAAGGCCTTTGAATGCGGGCAGAGGTTATGGCCACCAACAAAAATATGTTTTTGCAGTCTGTAAAAATGTTTTTTCTAGTAGTGCCAGCCACTTCACATAGGTCCATGAATTTTTAATATACGCTTGTATAAGCCGTTCCAAAGAGATTCCCGTTCCAAAGAGATTCACATCCCATCTTTTCGCTTATGCTTATGCTTATCAGTAAAAATTTGAATTTTGAACCTTGAATTTGGAGTTGATTTTAGGGTTTTTTCATCAAAATTTATTTTTTAGCCTTTGCTTTTAGATCACTAAGAACACGCATATACAAATTTTATTCACAAATTATTTTTCGTTTGTGTTATGAAACGATAAGCGAACAAACGATAAAGAACAATAGATCAATCACAGAAGACACGAGATTTAACGTGGAAAACCCTCCCAAAACAGGAGAGAAAAAACCACGGGCGCCAGCCAGCAAAATATCTTCACTATATCTGGGGTGAGGTTACAATGCCGCACGGCGGCTTACAAGAGGTATATATACGCTCCGGCCCAAGCCTCCCGGCGACGGGCCTCCGCTCCACTACGTCAGAAGCTGGCCTTTATTAAGTGCAAATGAATTTGGATCACAACTCAATAGTTTGCAAATATGTCGTTTCGCTTATTAAAATGATGGGGCTGTCAATCTCATATCCACACTGTCACTTCCCGTGCCCCTCTTTTGCTCCCCTCACCCTGCCTCTTCCCCCTCTAGTGTCCTGGTAGTAAAGCTCAAGCTTCTCTAGATATGCCTCCTGTGATCCTGTCACATGTGGATTGGCACTCACGGATCAGACAGTTGTGGTGTCTCGAGGTACACCGTGAGGAGGAACGAGGAGTTGATGCCCACGTTGCCCCTATTTTCCTCCGCCATACTAACTAGCTCTGCCCTTGTTGTTGTTGCCATCCTTGAGGGCTTCTCCTTTCCCGTTGCCACACTTAAGGACCATAGGACAAGGAGGAGAATGTTGGTCCCATTGGACAGAAGTTACAGAACATATCTATCGTCGTCGGAAATAAAGAATAAAGAGAGAGAGAGAGTGATCTAAAGTGTAAAAAAAAAACCAGAGAACATCGAAGTAGGTAGATTAAAATAAACGAACATGTTCCTAACTCCTAACTGTAATATACTCAAAACAAAATTCGGTAGCTCGATCTTTTTTTTTCTCTCATTTCCCCTTCTCTCTCTATCCTTTTTCCTCTTTCTTCCTAATAAGTGAGTATCTTGTTCCTCCCCTGGATCACCGAGCACCAAGTCCTCCCTTTGCACCGCGTGGCGAGGAGGGCGAGTCGCCCAATCTCTCTGCCCTTTGCGGCGCCGTCGTCGCTGCCAAACCCGGCCGCCTCCGCGCTGCAACGACCGCCGCGAAAATCCGGCCGCCTCCGCGTCGTTGTTGCCGTAGCTGCGTGCCCCGGCGAGGTCGTCTCCGCATCCTCCTCGCGCGAGGATCCCGTCCCGATCGCTAAGGACGGTATACCGGTCCCTAGCATTCCGGGAAAAAAAAAATCTCATCTCTCTTTGAGTTTTGACTACCTCTGTGTCGCGCTACCCCACACGGAGAGAGAGCAACGAGGGGATGGGCGGCTACGAGAACGGCGACTCGCCGGCGGCCGCCGCCGGAGACGGCGGCGTCATCCTGGGCGTCGACGGCGGCACCACTAACACCGTCTGCGTCTGCCTGCCGGTCGCAATGCCGCCGCCGGAATCGCCCGGCGCCGTCCCCGTCTTGTCCCGCGCCGTCGCCGGCTGCTCCAACCGCAACTCCGTCGGAGGTAACCACCGTACAAGGCTTGGCCCAGTTCCGTGGCGGCCCCTGCTGCATATGTAATGGTTGGATCTTGGGGTTTGACCATCGGTATCGGGTTAGATTTTGGCGATTTGCGGTGCTGTGAACGCCACTGCTGCCGTGCAATTCTGGTGAATTTTGCGACAATATAGTGTTCCCATGTCTTAATTCTGGTGAATTTTGCGACAATATAGGGTTTCAGAGAAGATTAATTATTTGCATAATTATGATCTCCAAAATTTTTCTAATGTGAAATTTATTGATGATTTTGAAAAGAAAAAAGTTCATCTGTTTCTTATAAATTCAGTGGTTTCCTACCTAGAATCATCTGATCCAGATACATAATAGGAGTAGAAAATGGCATTGCTGTTGCTAAGCTGTGGTATCTATGTAGTAGCCTGGTAAATTTTAACTGATGGGGAATACATCCTTTTATATGTGGATGTTGATTAGTATAGAACTAAAAATCATACCATTACTTGAAACATCATTATGATACCACCGTTATTGCAGCTTACTAACCTTTCTAATTGAATGGTTTCCCCGTATTAATTCATATTTTCACTAGTCTAGGTGCTATAAATTATTATAGATAGAGTTGGGTATTGCACGAGTTTTTGCTCAAGTAATACTGATCACTTTGTCCTTTATCTTATTTCAGAAAGTGCTGCACTGGAAACTCTAGAACAGGTCATGGCACAGGCCCTCACATTGGTCAACACGGATCGTTCAGCTGTCCGTGCAGTTTGTTTAGCTGTATCTGGAGTTAACCATCCTTCTGATCAGCAGAGGATGCTAGACTGGATTCGGTATTGATCTCTGCATATATCCCCTTCCTGAAAATTCATCCGCTGGCCACTTCAAATAGCATCAATAAATTTTGTAAATCATGGTTTCTTATTGAATTGGACACAGTCTGAAGCTATCAGGGAAACAATGCATGAGTTAAAATTTTTCACTTGCTGCTAAGTGCTAAGTGAGCTTTTTTGTTCTCCAGAGATCTCTTCCCTGGCCATGTCAAGTTTTATGTGGAAAATGATGCGGTGGCAGCTCTGGCCAGTGGTACAATGGGAAAGCTACATGGCTGTGTATTGATAGCGGGCACTGGAAGCATAGCTTATGGGGTCACTGAAGATGGAAAGGTAGCAAGAGCAGCTGGTGCTGGACCTGTTTTGGGCGACTGGGGTAGGTGAGTTACATTTATAAGAGAAGGGAATGTTAAGAAATTCCAAAGATAAATGTGTTATTTGAAGTTGGTATACTGTTTCTTTTGGGGGATTTCATTTGCATATTCTCCTAGCAAAAGCTTCTGATCTATAACATGAAAATCAGACAATATGTTATTTATTTGCAAGGGGTTATGAATTTCCACTTAGTGTGAAAACCCACTATCATGAATTGACCATGACATGCTTAATTAAGGGTGAATAGGCATTTAAAACTGTTAGCATTTTCAATAGAGTGACAGGAAAACATAGGTTACATTATTTGACCATGAATACATCCACATCCTTAGGAGAACCCCAATTTTTTTCCAGAGCAATATATTTTCAATAGCTTTTACATGTGACAAAGGAAATGTAGGTGACACCATGTGTACATTAATGCAGTGGATATGGCATTGCTGCACAGGCCCTGACAGCAGTCGTAAAAGCATACGATGGCCGTGGACCTCATACTAATCTTACAAGAGAGATCCTTAGGAAGCTTGAGCTTTCTTCACCAGATGAATTGATTGGGTAAGTTCTCTCGTACATATATATCCTTTTTGCCAACACATTCTATTTCGGTTGTATTTTTCCATTAAGTTTTTACCATGAGAAATTATCACTATTGTCAAGCATCCCTTTTGAGATCTTTTTTCCATTATGAAACTTGTCCTGTTGATGCATTAAGCTCATCACATCCAACGATCCATATTTTAACATCCTATGAAGGCGATACTACGATATTTGGACCAAACTGGTCTGAACAAACTGCTATTTCAGTGTTGAATGCCAAAAAGACATCCTGCGATTGTTTCATGTTTTATCTTGAAAATCTACGATATTTGGAGTCTTTAAGTTAGTTATCAACTTATCATCCTTGTCTGTGGCATAGGTGGACGTATGCAGATCCATCTTGGGCCCGTATTGCAGCACTTGTTCCTGTTGTGGTATCTTCTGCTGAAGATGGTGATGAAGTAGCAAACAAAATATTGCATGATTCAGTGCAGGAGTTAGCTGATAGTGTTGTTGCTGTTGTTCGGCGCCTTAAATTGTGTGGTGAAGGTAGTAATTCAGCACAGTTTGTGTATTATTCTCCTAACGAATTTCTTGATGTTTATTCATGAAATGATTGGAGAGCTTGCATCATATAATACCAAAGCAAGTAGCAATTTTTTATGTTACTGCAACCAGGTACTTCCAGTTTTAGTCCAAGATATTCTTCTTCGAAACTGTAGGTTCATTGTCTACTAGTGCATGGCACAAGTTGTTGCACTCTGCCACTCTGAATGCAGGTTTTGGGTCAAGCCCAACCTATTTCCATGATGCACTTGATTTGACACAAAAGCACGCGTTTTTAGAGATTATGTAAGGCGAGGTTGTCAGATATTTATATTGTTAAGTTGTAACTCTTTGAGGAATTGAGTAAAACATTATCGTGTATAACTGAGGGCTTCCTTTTACTCTGTGCAGATGGAATGGACCAATTTCCGCTTGTTTTGGTTGGAGGTGTTCTCGAAGGCAACAAAAAATGGAACATTAGTGGTGAGGTTGTAAGATGTATTTCCAAAGTCTTCCCAGGCGTCCATCCTATTCGACCTGAGGTTAGTGTTGTACTACTTTATCCTGTTGTGAGTTTCATTTTCTAGCAGTGCGATTTACTAGAGATTCAAAAGGTCAAGCGTTTACAATTTCGGGGGTATTTTACCTTTTCTGGAGAATACAATTTTTGGGGATGCTTCAGAAGTATTTTTCATTCAGTGATTGTATATGGACATTAGTTTATGTAGGTAATGTTGCTGGATTTAGTTTTGCATAATTTCTGTCTCCAGCATTCAAGTGAACAGTCCACTTAAATAGTGCGAACAACTTTCAGGTTTGACAGTGATAAAAAAGTTATTTTTATCACATTTTGCAGGTGGAACCAGCCATTGGTGCAGCATTACTAGCTTGGAACCATCATCGCAAAGGACTGAAACTGGAAAACGGAAGTTGATCTCTAGCATATGGAATTTATTTCAACTGTAAATTACAGAACTGAACAGCCAGAGGATTAATAAGATTGGGATGGTCACACAGGCACATTCATCAGCATCAAGGTTGTTGCTGCGTGAAGAGCGTTATGGATGGATGTGCTTTCTGTGAGTTGTGTAAGCGGGGAACAGATGCATTTCTTATGTAATTAGTTACCGTGTTCAAAGAATTGTTCACGACATTTGGTTCTAACTCTTGGTGACTTGTACGTGTGCTATTAGAGAGTTCCAAGGAACATGTCTGAAATGAACAGGTCATGTTAAAATGTGTATTTTTACCTGTTCGGTTACCTTGTATCTGTATTTGGTCGAAATGCTGAATTGATTCAATCGTCACCTGCATTTATTTGCTGACTCATGTTGATAGGACAAATTTGCACGAATATGTTGAAGTATTTTCCCTAATTTGGATCGTCTGAGCAGATGTTCCTGACAGGGAGGAAAAGAGCAATTCACAAATACTTCAATTTTAATTTTGACTAAATTTATAGAAAAAACATAGCAACATTTTTAACACAGAACATAGTATCAAAACATATTCAATGTAACATTCAATAAGACTAATTCTGTGATGTGGATGTTGCTAAATTTTGTTATAAACTTGGTCAACTTAAAAAAAGTTTGACCATAAAAATGATGTCGTTTATTATGAAAGAGAGGGAGTAATTGCATTGTTGACCGTATGTGATTTTACTCCCTCCGTACTCGTAAAGGAAGTCGTTTATGACAATGTTTAAGTCAAACATTGAGAATATAAATCATGAATAACTCTCAGGTTGTTGAGTTTGAAAATGTAAAAATTATATGAATAGATTCGTCTTGAAAAATATTTTCATAAAAGTATACATATATTACTTTTTAATAAATATTTTTATAGAAATAAGAAGTCAAAGTTGTGTTTTGGAGACCGTGTCGCTGTCCAAAACGACTTCTTTTATGAGTATGGAGGGAGTATATTAGACTGCAAAGTTCTGCCTGTCATTATATTTTACATCAGGTTCCGTAGACTGCCAACTGCAGATTTGAATGGCTAAAGAATTGCATATCAAAACATCTCTTGAGACACACAGTTTGTCACATTGCTCAATAGAAATACAATGCTCAGGTCGTGACATCATTAGACCATGACCAGTAAACCACACTTGGTCAAACTCATACATTAATCCCATACATCTTTCTCAATGTGGTTCAAAAACTCCACCAACATTCTTCCTAGTCCATCAAGTGGAAAAGTATTTCAGAATTCATCTTTTCCAGACCCATAGGATCAATAGCGCAATACAAGGACTAACTAATGTTGGCTCATTTACAAGCTGCCAAAGGCTACCAAATCTACTATCTAAAATGGGGAGCAAACTACTTTGCATCACCTAACCCTTGATTTGACATCAAAAGAAGGGCATGATCTACAAAAGTCACCTCATACTACTATAAATGCAGAGTCAAACCGTCAAGCTGTCAAGCCTTTGCTAACACTGTAGTAGCAGATATAAGTATGAAGGATAAGTTTATTTCGACATGTTTAAATGTTTCTTGATCATGTTCAAGATCTCCATAACCTGTTAAAGAGATAACACAATTGAGAACAAAGATATCAACTTAAAACGATATAGTAATTAGTAAAGAATAGAAACATCATAATTTATAACGCTATATTTGGATGGATGCTAGCAATTCCTAATCCAATAGCATGCTACGACCAGTAGTTAGACCTCAACATACATAAAACTCAATGTAAAGAAGCAGTTTTCATAGTTGTGGAAACAAAATAATGAAGTTCGGATTGAAATTCCTATTAGAAATTATGTTATATCAATTTTGTTTCTTTAGAGAGATTTCACTTCACTATCAAAACAGAGATGTACTAAGAACAGTATACTTACACCAGTGTAGTACTGCAAGACAGGAGAATAGTGATCGAGTGCAATATAAATTTTTGCAAGAAGATCTGTTAATGCCTCAACCTCATCACCAAGTAAATCTACCTGCAAAAAACAAGAAATCACACTCCTAATCCTCCTCATTTAAAGGCACTATCTAGGTAACTGACTGGTGCAGTTTCTAGGATAAGCAGTTGTTTGGAAACCAAAGATGTACCTCGAGCTCAGCTTTCTGAAGATTGGAGGCTCTTGTTTCAGATATTTCCTTGTATCTCAATGCCTTCTTTCTTAAAGTATTGCCTTCTTTTGCAAGGATTTTACATTGTTCTTTCAATAGACTAAACCTGTTTTGCATAAGTTCAACAAAGAAAAGTCATAGACAATAAGAATTGTAAATATAAATACAGCATAAGCAAACCCAAAATAAAGACAAAAGAAACTACTGGATGAATGGAAATACAGGCACCTTGATTCATTGTGCTGAACTTTGTGTGCAATGATAGTTTGTTGGTCTGTAACAAGCTTTTCAAAACCTCTCATAGATTCAACAACACATCTCATGCATTCTGTAAACTCCTTTTCTTTAGAAATGGATGATGAAAATCCCTTCTCCTTTTCTTTAATGATGGCATGTAAAACTTTATTTTGTTTCTCTACCTCCTTTTGAGAATCTGATACAGTCCTAAATCTATCATTTAACTCCTTCAGAGCAATCTCATTACGATGAACATGCTGCAGAGCTTGCTCCAACCTGCTAACAATGACATCAAAATCCCTGCACTTATCAGAAATGCCGGAATCTTGCTTTGCAACTTTGCCTCTTAGTGAATCAAGTTCATGGCGTAGAAAATCCAAATGATCCTCTATTGCTTTGAATTCAATCTGTGACAAATATTCCTCCTTCTCCCTTATCACTAAATTGAAGGTATCCACATTTAGCTTTAATTTGTCCATCTCTTGCATATGTAGAGATTGTGCTTCAGCACAGCTGTTTTCCTCGCTGTATTTTAACAAAAATGAATTAATGTTTGAAGCTGCTTCAGCTATGGCCTCTTTCTGAATAATTGACCAAAAGTCCAGATTCATATTAAACTCCATCTCATAACCATGCAATCCCATTTTTATTTCACTAATAAACTCTGTTACTAAAATCTTTTCTGTCTCTTCTCTAACTATGGTTACAATGCTGGCATCTTCAATATCAGATTCTAACCTCCTAATCTGATTCAGGTAATTTGTCTCAATGGGTGTGAAATGTGAAGCCTTAATTAGAGTAGTGCATTCTTCCTCTTCATTGTCAGTTGGAGCACCTTGCAACTGATGGTTGTGAGAATCTACAACCTTGATTTTGTCTTGTTGACCAGGAAATACATCACTCTTGATGCGGATGGTTCTTTTATTCTCCACAAGGACCTCATCCAATTTTGTAATAACTTCCCAAATTTTCTTCCTCATGAGCTCAAATTCTTTATTATTGCGTAAATGCCAGGGGTTAGGTCCTTCTTTTTTTAGGTTCTCCCGCTTTAGTCTAAATATCTCTTCCGTCTTCTCTTGCAAAGTCGAATCATGCTGCCGTTTCATTTGATTCATCATTTTATTGAAATGGGCTACCAACTCATCCCTATCCATGTGCTTCAGAACTGTTGGATCAATAAAAATATCTTCATTGGAGCCTTTAGAACCATTTTCCTTAGTTATACCATCTTTAGAGGATTTTTCATTCCCTCTATGCTTACTTTCATCTTCTGCGCCTTCAAAGTTGTTATAGTGTGATACTGAAAGCCCCCACTCAGAATTCAAGAGTGACTTAGAAAGAGTCACAAGCTGTTGGCGAAGGTTATAAATTTCTTCATAGAGTTTATCTCGGCCCTCAGATAAACTCAGGCCACTATTTCTGAATTGATGCAGCTTTTCGTTCAAGAATGCTATCTCTGCATCCTTAGATGCAATCTGGCGAGCTGATTCTTGCTCTACAGCACTTATAGTTCCCTTCATAACAGAGTCAGTAACATATCTTGAAACATGAAGACTGGTATTTAATTCATTCCAAATGGCGTCCAAGTCATCTACAATCAACTCATTTTCATCTGAAGGTTCTCCCTGGACAGTGGAGCTTCCATTCATATCGCTATGTGCTAATGGTACATCCAGGGTCTCCAGGCTCTCCGCCATGTTCCCACTGCAAAAAAGGGAAAAACAGAAAGGAGGATGACTAAAGCATCTCACTTCAACAGTATCCTATTTTATTAGAGTAATAACATGCATTGCCTCACTGCATCCTTAGAAATAGAACACCTCATCACCAAAGCTTCTAACATTGTACTCATATCTAAACACGAATTTGCCTTAAGCATATCAGTGGCAGATCTAACATGAGAGATGGGGGTTCAGTTGAACCCCCAAACATTTTTGGGAACCATCAAAACTGTTACTATTATTAAGGTTAAGGCAAAGTTCTAGAACAGAAGCTAGGGTTACCGCAAATTCGAGAAAAAGCGCGTGAGTAGATTGAGACGGGAAAGAGGATGTGAGTAACGGACGCGGCGGAAGCAGCAGGACGAGCGACGGCGAACCCTGCTCGCTCGCTCGCGCGATGGATGGGAATTGGCGGAGGCGGCGGTGGCGGAGGATGTGCGTAACGGACGCGGCGGAAGCAGAAGGACGAGCGACGCTCGCTCCTGGGATGGATGGGGATCGGCGGAGGCGGAGGCGGCGGCGGTGGTCAAGGGCAAACTCAGGATAACTCCCGCACGACGGAGGCGTCAAAATGGCGAGGGTAACTTGGTAATTTCGCCTAGCAATCAATCGACCCGGATTTTTTTTTTGACAGCAACTTTAGAACTTCATTAACCCACTGCTCCAGGCAAGTCGCCGGAGACAAGTTCAGTAACAAAGGCCGGGGCTTGGTTCTAGAAACACGGGGAGACAGAGGCCGCGGTCAGGGTTTACCTTACCACTACCTTACTGCCGGTAACCGCGCGATTACTACGGTTACCGGGCTTACCGCGGGGGTACGGTAATATATACCGCGGTAACCTCCTTATATTCAAATAAATTTAAAAAATAATTTGAATTTTTGATAAATTTTGCACGGTTTTGTACGGTTTTTCGCGGTTACCGCGGTTACCGCGCGGTAACCGTGCTTACCGCCGGGGCGCGGTAACCCCGGCCCCGGCGGTTTGGGAAACCCTGGCCGCGGTACAAACACCATAGGCGGCTAAACAGTCTGCCACCTTGTTACACAATCTAGGGCAAACAGAAATATTGACATGATCAAAATTCACCCGTAGAAATGCCCTGATCTGCCTGAACAAAGCCCCGTTCGGGTTGCGGTCGAACTCTTTAGATGTTAAGGCTCGGTGCAGGTTAGTAGCATCCATTTCGACAATAATGTCAGTCATGCCCAGTTGTGCCACCTGTTGCAAGCTGTTCAACAGATCCAGAGCTTCCGCTTGCAACGCGCTTGTCACCCGGACCAGACTACCAGCCCCGGCTTCTAGAAATTGTCTTGATGCATCCCTGGCAACAAAGCCTCATCCTCCCGCTTCAGTATTTATGAAAGAAAGATGCATCAATATTCACCTTATACACATTCGCTGGCGGGATCTATCGCTGCACAGTAGGTTGTTTGGCCTGAGAGTTCTTCTTTGATATCCTCTCTTGCTCCCCCAGATGAAACTCGACAGACTGGCAAATGTCCCAAGTTGACGACATTTTCTCCCCCACATTAACCTTGTTGCGAGCCAACCACCATCTCCACATGAAGGTGAGGATTTTTTGCTGTGTAGTTTCAGCAAAAGTCCAAAGCTTAGACATAGCTTCTTTCCCCGATTGGCATTGGACCATTATCTTCCTCTCCCTCTCCAGATTCAGAGCTAGCCAGCACGCCCTTGCATTTTTGCACTTAAAAAACAGATGTCCGTTGTCTTCGTCAAAACGTTTGCAAACAGGGCAGATCTTATCAATTTCAACTCCTTTCCTGGCCAGATTGCAACGAACAGCAAGGCTATTATGAGTAAACCACCACACAAACATCTGCACCTTATGTGCTACCTTGCACCTCCAGATTTTCAACCAATCAAAAGTGTGAGTTCCGTATACACTGCCGCTGGAGGAACTTGCATCCCGCCCGCTGCCCATATCACGCTTCCTGACAGCAACCTTATAGGCTGACTTTACAGAGAAAACTCCTTTTGGATCATAGCGCCAGGCAGCCCAGTCGTCCACACCATCATGCAAGGGGATCTTTTTTATCTCTTCAGCATCAACATTCCAGAAATTATCATCAATTAGAGCTTCATCCTATTCACCCAGGACCGGATCGATTAGTTCAGACACTTTAGTAAGTATCGAGCCAGCCCGCGGAGTGATTGGCTTTCGAGTACTACTCCGTGGGATCCATGGATCCTTCCATATTTTGAGCGAGTTAACATCACCAACACGCCAGATCAATCCTTCCTTCAACAGCTCCACCCCCTTCAGGATACTTCGCCAGGAATAAGAGATGACGTCCTTAGCCGAGCTATGCAGCACATCAGTATGAGGGTAGTACTTCGCCTTGAGGACCCTAGCACATAGAGTTCCTGGATTGGTGAGGAGGCGCCATGCTTGGCGGGCTAACATGGCAATATTAAAGAGATGTAGATCTCTGAACCCTAAGCCCCCATTCTCCTTCGACATTGTTAGCTTCTCCCAACTTAGCCAGTGTATTTTATTAGTCTTGTCCTGCTGACTCCACCACCATCTCGCTATCATCGAGCTCAGTTCATCACACAACCCCTTAGTCAGGTCAAAGCACGACATCGCATATGTAGGTATAGCTTGGGCTACTGCCTTGATCAAAACTTCTTTCCCAACCTTTGATAGTAGCTTCTCCTGCCATCCTTGGATGCGAAGCCAGACTTTTTGCTTTATATACTCAAAGGCCTGCTTCCTGGATTTACTCACCGAGATCGGCAACCCAAGATACCTTTCTGTTGTCGAAACGACAACCGCATACGTCGAAATACGTGGTTACTCAACAGTGGTTGGAAAAGAAGTAAAGTGTATTAATTTGAGAATTTTTACTTGGGGATCCCCCCATTACATGGCCCTATGGGGCTATTTATAACCCCCATTACAGGTCTTACTACTAGGGCTTTGGTTATACAGGGGAATTTACATAGTTGCCCTTATGAAAGGGACATTTACATGGGTACATTGCGTAATTGCGGTCCATGGACCCTTAGCGGGCCGACGGGTTATTGTCGACCCAATTAACCCCTAGGCTAGATGGGCCAGGATAGCCTCTTCGGCCCTCCCGGGGCCGAACTTGCTACGGCGAAGTCGTCCCCCTTCGGCATATGCTCTTCGCCTTGCGCCCTTCGCCCTGGAGGCCTATAGCCTGGCTGCGATTCCCTGCCTCTCGCCGTCCTTGCTCCATAGTCTTCGCCATGGGGAGGGTTCGCCTTGACTAACCCTGACGTCTCGGGCTTGAATCTTCGCCGGTCGCATGCTTTCGGCAGGTTTGATCGAAAGGCCTCATGCCATATCGCCAACAAGCCCCTCACGGGCAAGGGTGAGATAGGAGCTTCGGCCGAGACCATGCAAACCATGTGATATGGTATGTGACGCCCCCTTTCAACCGGTGCTCCTGCCGAAACCTACATCGTTCCTGCAAGTAAAGCTTGTTTGTTTCTATACTTAGAGAAAATTTCTTTGAGAAAAAACTCCTCTTCGCATTCGTTGCAAAGCGTCGAAGGGGGGTTATTTAGTCTCTTTTATTACTATGAATAGTAATGGGCCCTGTGGGCTTTTCCTTCTCCGTATTCGGGCTTTTTACTTTTCGGCATCGTCCCGATGGGAATTTACCGTTTCGTCTGCCCTTTGACACGTGTCAGAGCTCGATTAGTTGGCAGGCGAACGGTCTCGCTACGGGGTTATATATACCCCCAAACCGGCCTGCCATTTTTCACTCTTCCCGTGCCCTCCCCTTTTTTACCGCTTGACACGCTTCGAGTTCTCTTCCCTCTCCTGTTTTTTAGCTTTTTTGCCATCATCGTGCTCCTAGCCTTTCGGCTTTTTACCTCTCTTTTCTGTGCTACGAGCCTAATGGCTCCCCGCAAGCCTACCCAGGACGGGTCAACTGGCAAAGATCCTGGAAGCCTTGGCGAAGGATGGTCGTGCTTCCTTGGCAAATCGCTTGTCAAAGAGGCCGACTTGGGCGAATTGGTATCATCCGGTTCTCTCACAGAGGGCCAAGGATCGTGCAGGGGCGAGGCCGTTGTTCCCTCGCCTGGGGATGGGCGAACGGTTGTCTTTGCCGCATACTTCGCTGTTGGGCTTCGCCTCCCGTGCGACAACTTCTTGCCTTCGGTGCTTTCGACGTATGAGGCTAGGCTTCCCCAGCTTAGCCCGTCGGCATTCCCGAAGCTGGCGGTTTTCGCTTGGATGTGCCGGACCTGTGGGTTCGCCCCTACCGCCGAGCTTTTCGCCACTCTGTTTACTGCATGCGCCTCAACCAAAGACGTGCAGACACCGGCGGGTCCGAGGAAAACCGTTTTCGGCTGCGTGAACTTCATGCTATGGCCAGAGCGTTCAGATGCTTGGCCAGTGCTTGCATCGATGGCGAAATGGGACAGGAACTAGATGCAGAAATGGTTCTACATCAGCAACCCCTACTTCGCCGAAGATGCTCAGGCGAACTGGCTGCTTTTTGAGCGTTCTGCCGTCTCCATCAACGCGAAGCCAAACGTGGAGATTGACGGGACTCTCGAGTCCCGGTTCATTCTCCTTCGCAAGGTTGCTCGGCGGCTGAGCACCCGGGACCTTTGCGAGGAGTTTTGCCTCCTTCGGATTTCCCCTCTTGCCCATGTATTGGACATTTCCGTGAACGAGGGCGAAGAAGTTCTTGGGCTTCCCCGCCTAGTTCTCCCCGCCGGGGCCGAAAGTAAGGTTTTTGTTTTTGACTTAGGCCGCGTACTTCCTTCATGAAAGCGCATTTTAGGCTAAACTGTTGTGTTCCTCTCTTTTCGCAGTGCGGACTTTGGAAAACGCTGAAATTGAGGCGTCGAAGATGATCGGGGCCCTAACCACAGCCGAGTTCGCCTGCTTGCTCCAGCGCCAAGCCGACGGCCGAGTGAATCGTGTCTATACCGGCGAATTGCTGAGCTGATCGAACCCCTCTCAAGCCAGCGATGACCAGGTTGGCACTTCGAAAAAGTGCAAGCGTACGGTCGCAAAAGGCGGCCAAGTCCGAACTCGCCGTAGCGCGAAGGCCGCCGTGAAAGTGATGGGGAGGAGGAAGAGGAGGAGGATGCTGATGCCGGTTTGGAGGAGGATGGCTCTCATGGTTATACCCCCAGCCCTACCCCTGCGAAATATGGGGCAGGCTCTCATGTTTCGCCTACGCGACCACAAGAAATCGTCATGGCGAACACCCTTTTGGCGATCTCCAGCACAGCCGCGAAACCGGTGATGGCTGTCAGAAGAAAAAAGAAGAAGGGGAAGGTTGTGCAGGTCGGCCATGGCTTTTCGGACAGCGAAGGGTCCGACGGGACCCCTACTTCGCCGGTGTTGCGGCGCGCAACTTCCCGTGGCAGGCGCATGTCTCTGCCGCCTGCTAGCGATGCCGAAGCGGCGACGGGTGGAAGTGCCTCAGCCCCGGCCACTGGGGCTAACGTTGCTGAAGACGAACGGGTCGATGTGGTCCCTTTACCTATTCGTCAACGAGAGGGGAAGGCCCCGGCGGTTGAAGCGAGCATTTCGGACGTGACGCTTACCGCCCCACATTTCGTCCCCGCCGACTTCGCCACATTGTCGGAGATCACTCCGTTCGTGGATGGGGTGTGCCAGGTCATAGCGCCGACTGAAGGCCTTGGGCTCTTCACCGAACTGAACAAGT